GTCACACAACTTGTCCCAACTATTATTGGTAAGGAGAGTGCAGACTCAGTGGATATAGATGCCTTGATGGAGATTTATTTGTGTAACATCGGAGGAAGGAAGAAGAGGAGGAGGAGGAGAAGAAGTAGGAGGAGGAGGAGGATAAAGTAAGACAGAAATACAGGTGTATACATTCAGAACTACATTCCAGAGGGTTCCTTTTGATGTAGCCAAAGTGGAGCATGAGTTCATTTCCTGGGCCCCTAGTCTGTGTCTGTAAAGGAAAAATAACAACCGTAACCATTTGCAATTTAAACAAGAGAATGTGATTATGCTACAGAACATGTGTCGCTTCAAGATTTTCACAGTGCTTGGGACAGACAGAGGTCTTAGCTCACCACTCGTTTGCTGCAGGTTCTTGCCAAAGATCCAGCATCTGACTCCAGAAGGAAGTAATTTGGTTGTTCAGAGAGTGAGCATTCCTAAATGATTGTCCCCAGCTCTTCTGACTCTACTCATTTCTTTTGGTAACATTTGCAGTATTTTTGAATTGGGAAATTAGTTTTTAGAAGGATATTCCACATCTTGCAAGTTATCAGCCCCTATAACTGTGTAATATGAGAGCTTTACCAGCTGGCTGGAAGTAGGGAGCATTTGGAAAAGGCTGCTACTGATCACACTCAAACAATAGGAAATTTGATGACAGATTTTGGCCAACCTTTCCTTTCAGTAGTAAAGGGAACTTAAAAAACATTCCCCTTCATGTGGCATATTTACAAATAGAATACATATTTACAAGCAAATATGCCATGTCAGAGAGTGATAATACAAATAACACAGGTTAAACGTGTTGTGATATGGAGTAGTTTCCTCCCGAGGGTTAATTGAACTTTTTCAAGGAAGTAATAGTTGCATGGAAAACTGCAAAATAAAATGACCATTAAGCATCTGAATGAAGATCATCACGAGGAAGAGAACAACAAGTGCAAAAAAATCTGTGATGAAAAAATGCTTGTGTTTGGGGAGTGGCAACCAGATTGGATTCTGGCTCAAGGAAATAGAGGTAGAAAATAATAGTAGACACTTAACAAGGCCTAGATCATGTAAATACAGCATTAACAATTTTATTTACTAGAAATGTCTGCATTTTTCCTGGCATAGAAAGCCACAGGGAAACTGAAATCATGGGAGTACATTTTAAAATTCCAAGAAGACACACAAGAGAGTATTCCTTCCTCCCTTTGTACATTTATTGAGGTGGTTCCCTATAATTAGTCCAGGAAACAGTAGCTTTGTTTGTTCCACGGCAGAGCGACAAGCTGTCTGAGGCATTTACGTTGATGAATATCAAGCACCCATGTGCGTGCTATGTATTAAGGCAGCTTTTGTGACGACAACTGGGATTTCAGACATCAGTCTATAAAGAGAAGTATTTTTAGCTGAGGAAAGAATGTAAGATATAAACTAGGGTTTATTGTAAAGGTCCAGGGATCCTAAAGAGTCTGGATTGATTGAATGATTTTGCCAATAAACAGATTTGGCTTCTTCTCTGCAAACCAAGGCACAGGAATGCATACAGTCAGAAAGCCTACAAATACCAAAGGGAGGTTCAAACAGCATTTTGTAATGCAAACAACACCACGATTAGAGTTTCTTGCTTGCTGATTAATCTGTTATTTGACCCTGGTCCGTTAATAAAACTGTCATGCTTGTTACATTTTTATGGATTACAAAAATCCTTCCATATACATAATTTTGTAAAAAAGCACTCATTTATTTGAAAGTCACAGTATTAGAGAGAGGGCAAGACCGAGATCTTCCATCTATCTGCTGGCTTTATCCCTAAGTTAAAGGCCAGTGCCGAGCTAGGCTGAAACTAGGGCCTGGAACTCCATCTGAGACTTCCAGGTGGCTGGTAGGGGTCTAGGTACATGGGCCTTTTTCTGATGCTTTCCCAAGAGCATTGGCAGGGAATTGATTGGATTGCAAATAGAGGAGCCAGGACTGGCACCAGTGCTCATACAGCATGCCAAGGTTGCATGTGATGGCTTACCCCACTGTGCCAGGCTGCTGGTGCCCATGTATATGACTTATTTGAATTTTACAACTTGAAGACATGGCTGGAAGATACCAGAAATATAATGTGATATCCACATAGAAGAGGTCTGCGCTTCAAAGTAGCCGAGTTACCTATCCATGGATATTGTGCTGCCACCTTAATAAGCGGCAAAGGCAATAAGAGAAGGTAGGTCCAGGACCCAGTACAAATTCCACACTTTAGTAGTACAGTTTAGCAGTGTGGATTGCAGTGATTTTGAAAAACACATAGGCTAATTGATGAGTAAAACAAATAGCAAACACAGGCACAAATCTTATTATAAAAGTAAAGGTTTGATATGAAGACAAGTTGACAAACTGATGCAGACCACAGATGAATTATACTGGGTTACTAAAATGATAGAGAGAGAGAGAGAGAGAGAGAGAAAGAAGGAAGAAGGAAGGAAGGAAGGAAGGAAGGAAGGAAGGAAGGAAGGAAGGAAGGAAGGAAGGAAGGAAGGAAGGAAGGAAGGATGAACTCACCTCTCAGCTGCTGGTGTTGTTCAAGTGAACATATTTAACTATCATATGGCTCAGACTTTCCCCACATACTGTGTACTGATGCCCCTAAGTTGCCTTTCCTGTAGCAAACTCGTACTTTTATGGAGTTGCGAGTACGTCAAGATGTCAGTTCATAATTTCTAAAGTATTTTCATTTTTACCTTTAAAAATGTGTGTGTAGTTATTTAAATACTTTTGTATCCCATGCTTAGTGTAAGGCATAAAAAGACAAAGAAAAAAAGGTGCTGTCAGTCACTTTTAATAATTCAAAAAATGGCTCAGATAACTTAGAAGGCTGAAAATAAAAAGACAGCTTTATGGCCGCAAATCAGTATCTACTTATTAGTTCAAGGACAAGTATTCATTACTCAGAGCTCATTCTGGAAATGAAGATTCTGTGAAAAGTGGCATGACATAACAATGAAGAAAACGGGCCCATCCCACAATAATGCATGGAAAGAAGCATAAACTACTTTAATGATACACAGAAAATACGCCTTGAGAAGTAAAACGTCTAGCCAAAGAATATGACGTGCTTTGCGCTTTTTAAAAGAAAGTGAAGAAGAAGCTGAAAAAATATCAGCATCAACATGTGTCATTGAATTTTGAGCAAAAACAACAACATGTAGTGTCTTCCTGCTGAGGCAGTTAGGTAAACAATAACCTTTATGAGTGAGAAAGGCCAAGGGGGAAAAAAAAACAAACAAAAAACCCAAAAAACAAAACAAAACAGAACGTTTTAAAAATGAGTTTTCTTGTGTGAGGGAATGAGGAAACAAGCCTTGAAGGCAGGCAAAGGATTACATCTAAAATAAATGCTCTTGTTCAGTAATCCTGGTTTTACGCCTCTCTCCAGGGGGCAGCAGAAAGGATTATTAGTGTCAAGGGACATATTAGATCTGCTAAGGCTGTGATAAAGTCCTGGAAGTGTTTTTCAAGAACTTTATATCCACCCAGTCAATTTCTCAGGAGACAGAAGGAGAAACCAGAGGAGGGCATATCCATGTTGGTAGGAATGCATCTGGGTACAGGCTGGTCTCCCGGCTCTCTAGTGGCAAGCAGATCTGGGCAGCTGTGCCCGCCTCAATGAACTTGGCTAGCACAGTTACTGCATTATGCCTAAATTCTTTCTGGCGCTAAGAATATCTGAGTTGTGTCCAGTGATATATGCACCTATATAATATCAAATGCAGTATAGGATGAGGACACAGGAAATAGGAAATCATATACAATGAATGAGAATACTTTTAAGTTACTCCATGAAAAACAAAGATTCTACTCATGTGTTTGCAATATTGACAGCACATTGTAAAATAGCTGGCATACAGAAAGAACATTCAAAAACATTCATGTTGTAAATTTTTTATTAACAGCAAACAGGGATATTATTAAGAGGTGAAAGCAAAACAATTTTATAACAGCAGTTTATTATAATTATATACAAGCAGATGCATATCGGCTATAACATGAAATCACACCTTTCTAAAACGATTCCAAACTACATCATGGAATTGTCTACACTTGGCCAGATCTGATAAATTTCTAAATGTTTAATGAAAGAGATCGCACTGTACAGAAAAGAAAAAAAAAATAATAATAGCTTGCAGTTCCTCTGCTAACCACGACTTCCCAAGCTACTTCTCTGCAAGCCTATTTAGTCATCTATAAAAGCTGATTCAGTCACAAAAAGTAAGTAGAATACAAAATAAATCCACAGAAGCAGGGCAATGGAGACAGGCGATGTCTTCTAGCCACCACCCCATTCAAACCCACACCCTGCTTAGCACACTCAAGGCCCTTGGCTCGGATATGTACCAAACCCAACTTAGTTCATCACCTCTCATCCGTTTTCCTCCATTAGACAGTATCTTTTTTTTTTTTTTTTTTCATGTCCCAAGTATTGCGGAGCTGGCATGAAAAAGACAAAATCTAGAGAGGGACGATAGCACCTTACTTGAGGTGGAAGTTTGTGGAGACCTGCAATAACAGGACTTAACTTTACCGGCAGCAGGAAACGTTAACAGGTTCTAACGAAAGCTTGTATAGTGCTCCTCACAGTATCCTGGGGGTGGGGGTGAGTAGCGTTCCCGGCTTGAAGATGCGCAAAGGTGAAGCTGATAGAAACCTCCTGAACACTCTTCAGCTTTTAAGTAGCAGAGGCTGACTTCGAATTCAGGCTACAGGTGTGTCGTTTCCTCACCTGTAGAAGAAATCGTGTCCCTCACAAGGAAGTAGGTATTTAGTGTCAAGGGGCCGGAGGAGAGCGACCCCTGGACCCTTGGAGATCCTAGCCACGTGCCAGCCTTAAAGGGCGTGGGCTTCTTTAAGGGAAAGGAACTTTTCCTTCCCCGACAAAAAGTTAACTTTTGAAGTGGGAGGGGTTCTCGCTGAAGGAAACTCCCAGTGGGCAGAAGGCCACCTCGATGGATAAGCTCTTACCTGGCCAAGGATCTGAGGAAGAAGAGGAAGAAGAGACTGCAGAGCAGAGGGAGGCGAAAGCCCGAGAGAAAGAGTCCGGGCCATGGGTCGACCAGAAGGAGTCAGAGTGGTCGAGCCTGTTGGGAACGGATGTTGCCGGTCAAGACAGCCGAAAAGTGACGGGTCCCGGGGAGGATGCCCCAGAGGAGCCACAGGAGTCGGGCTCAGGCATGGCCCTGGAGGCAGCGGCTGCCGGGCCGGGGAACTCGGACAGGGCCATCCCAGAGGAGGAGGCCGGGGTACAGCCAGTGTGGCCGAGGGGCGGGGAGATGGCGGTCCCCGAGGGTGCGGCACCCGCGGCCCCGGCGGCCCCGGAGGGCCGGAGTCGGGGAGAGAGGGAAGCTGCGCCCCGGAGAGAGCAGCAGCAGTGGGTGGGCAAGAGCAGAAAAAGTACGGACAAGCGCAACCGGGACGAGGACAGAAAACCGAGGCAACCGGACAGGTACTGGGAGTCTTACTGGGAAGGAGGCAAGGAGCGCTACCGGCAGAAGAAAGTGAGGCGCAGGGCGAAGAGCAACTGGAAGTACAAGCTGGAGAAGAAGGCCAGCTGGCTGAAGAGCCCAGAAATCTGGGAATCTGCGGAGGAGGGTGAGGAGGCTGAGGAGGAGGAGAAGTTGGAGGACAAAGAGGAGGAAGACAAACCGGAGGAGAAGGCCAGCAAGGAGAGCATCGGCAGCTTGACAGTCCTGCAATTCAGCAAGCCGGAGATTAGATTCAGTATCAGTCAGAGGGCTCCTCCCAGTCTGTCCCAGCGGAGAGTTACCAAATGCATCTCTGGTCTCAGTGTCATGAACGAGCTAGCCAAGATGGGCGACCCGAACCTCCTGGAGATGGTGCAGGAGGAAGGTAGGAGGTCGGGGTTGAGCGCGTGGACCCCTAGCCCCTAGCCGCAGCACAGGGTCCCCCGGGGGAGGGGGGATGTTGGTGGACTGCATGATGAGTCCTGGGAATGTTCACTTGGCTTGCCAGCGAAGGGCGCCCCTTGCCCAGCCTGTGCTTAGAGTGGAATTCGCTCCCACGATTTCCTTTGCAGCTTCTGAGGACTTGGCACCTGCGTCCTTATGACACCTGGACACCTTCCTTAATCCTTTGTGTACTATGGGGCAGCTAAGCAATTTGGAGAGGGCAGGATAGCACACCAGGCTCGTATGCTGTGATGCTCCTGAGTCTGAACCAATCAAAGGGTGGGAAAGGTCTTCCAAGAGAAGTAACAGAATAGATCATAGGGCTGCGATCCCACATGCACGGTACTGGCCTTGGACTTCTTTATCCTGGCTCTGCAAGTTATTGTTCGTGCTTTGAGATGCTTGTGAATCATGGAATGGCAGAGGGATTTTTAAGGATGTATTTTATTTATTTATTCATTCATTCAGTTAGTTAGTTAGTTAGTTATTGGAAAGGAATATTTACAAAGAAGAAAAGACAGAGAGAAAGATCTTCTGCCCACTGGTTCACTCCACAAGTGGCTGCAATGGCCAGAGCTGAGCCTATCCAAAGTCAGGAACCCATAGATTCTTCCACGTGGTGCAGGGTCCCAAGGTTTTGGACCATCCTTCTCTGCTTTCTCAGGCCGCAAGTAGGGAACTGGATGGGAAATGCAGCACCTGGGACACGAACCTGTGTACTTATGGGATCCCAGTGCTTGAAGGGGGAGGATTAGCCAATGGAGCCATGTGCCCAGGGGGGCAGATCTTAACACCTGTCAGTTTTTGAATCACTGCCATGTTTACAGATCAGCTTCAGTTGGACCTATAGTGGTGTTAACAAACATGTGTCCAGTGCTTGCTAAGGTATTTGCTCATGCCTGTAGTCTGTTGGATCTATTTTGGTAAACATGTTTTTCCCCAAAATACACATGTTTTGTGTGGGCCATTCCCAGGAATTCAGTCACCTCAATGGCTTTCTATTTTACTGGGAAATATTTAATATTAGATGTAAGCCTAGAAACTTTTTTAAAATGGCACAAATAGTCTGAGAGTAGTTTTACTTTTCAGTTTCCAAAGACACTGAGAAATCTAATGTGACATTGCATCGCTCTCCTGCTTTGCAGGGAGCATCATTGGCATGCAACCTTCCTATCCTAAGATCCACCCGTTTAAATTTTTCAGTATATTTGAGTTTTTGCAGCAATCATCATAAAGCAATTTTGGAACAATTTTGTCTCCCCAAATGGAAACCTCTTAGACAGCCATTCCTTGTCTCCCCTACCTTAGCTCCAAGTCCCTAATCTGTCACTGTTTCTATAAACTGGCTGATTCTAGACACTTGGAATAAATAGGGTCATGTATTATGGCTTATAGTAGCCACTTACTTCTCTTAGCCTAATGTTCTTGAATTTCATTACTTGGGATTTGTATTAGTGTCTCTTTCAGTTGCCAGCTAATATTCCACAGTGGAGCATACATCAGATTATCCACTTATCAGATGGTGTACATTTGGATTATTCCACATTTTTGATCCTGCAGAGAACATTGTGAATTTTTAGTGTCAACACATATTTTCATTTGCTTGAATTATGCTTAAAAATGAAATTGCTAGATTATGTGGTGGCATCCTATTACACATTTTGAGAAAGTCGCGAAGTGTCTATATCTTTTTCCATTTCCGTGGACAATGGATCTGCGCTTCCAGCAGTTTCGTTTGTTGTTTTTAGTGTAGCCATCCAAGTGGTTGAGAAACCGGTGTCTCTTTGGCATTTTCATTTGCATTTCCTCAATGAATAATTTACTATGTATCTTCATACATTATTTGTGATTTATATATTAATTTTAGAGAAATATTTATTGAAACATGTTTTCAAAATATTTTTAAATACTGACTTATAATAGCTCTTTATATGAATTGTATTCAAATCCAATATAAGTTTGCAAATATTTTTACCTATTCTGTGGGTTTTTTTCTCCTTGTTCTTCATGGCATGACTTGACGCACATTATCTTTTATAAAATCAAAAACTAATAATGATTGATATAGTAAATGACTATCAGTGCCTTCATATTCACCGGATATGCATTCCAAGCCCTCTACAGGAAGCCTAAACTCATGGATAGTACAGAACCTGTATGCACCCTTTCTTTTTTCCTATGAACTCATACCTATGCTAAAATTTAATATATAAATTAGGTATTCAGGCAGAAGCATTGTGGCATAGTAAGCTAAGCGACCCTTTATAGTCCATGTCATAATGGAGCACTAATTTGAATCTTGGCTGCTCTACTTCTCATGTAGCTCTCCGGTAATGTGCCTGGGAAAGCAGCAAAGTCTGACCCAAATACTTGGCAAATGGGAGTCCCGGATGAAGCTGTGGGCTCCTGGCTTTGGCCTAGACCAGGCCCAACTGTTGTAGCCTACTAAACAGGGAGTCAGTGAACTGAAGATCCCTGTCTCTTCCTCCTCACCCTCCTTCATCACATTCTTTTTAAAATAACTAGCTATTCAAACTGTTTATACCTAGAATTTTCCATGTAATATTTTCAGGTTACAAATAGTTCTGGATAGCTAGAATCATGGAAAGTGAAATCTCAGGCCAGAACCCGGATGACTGCTGTATTAGGAAATAGGCGTGGTGTTCAAAGATGCAAAACTCCAAATGATTTTCAAAAGTACAGAGTTAGAATTTCCTTCATTTAAAAATATTTATTTGAAATCCAGAGTGAGATAGATAGAGAGATAGATAGATAGATAAAAGTAGGTATCTTTCATCTGCTTGTTCATTGCCTCAATGCCTATAATAAGAGATATACAGAGTCAGATATACAGAGGGGAGGATACAGATACTCAGATATACAGAAAGTCAGATATTCAGGGAGGAGGAGAGGCAGAGGGGAAGAGCTTCTGTCTGCCAGATTCACTCCCCCTACAAGTTGCCGCAACTGCCAGAGCTGTGCAGATCTCGCAGGTTCCCAAGGCTTTGACCATCCTTGACTGCTTTCCCAGGGCACAAAGGGAGCTGGATGGGAAGCAGGATCACTGGGATTAGAACCTGTATGGGTTCCTGGTCAGGACTTTAGCTGCTAAGGCTTGCACACAGCAGCCTAAAATCTGCACAAGGCTAGCCCCTGGAATTTCTTTAGATACACATTTAATGCTTCCTTTTTAAACTCTTTTTTTTTTTTTTTGTGGTTTCTTTCTTTGGTGACAATTGCTATCTTACAATTTCAGTAACCTGATGTCTAAATGTATTCATAATTCATTTAAAGCACTTGGCAATTCTTTGTAATAATTCCTGTGGTAAATCTGCAAGTCATACAGATACATACTTTTCACTGAAGGATAAATGGAAAGGGAAATGTATATTATCAAATGTTCTCTGCAAGTACTTTTATGCACCAAAATAAACTGATCTTTTAATTCAATTTCCCATGAACTTTTGAAGTACCCTCTTGTGTTTCCTAAGTCCCATTTAAGGATTAAAATGATGGTTAAACAATTTATTTACATATAATTAATTTTTAAACCTGAGATATCTTGCCTTTTTGACAGATTAATGAATTGTCTCTATTTTTAAAAAGATTTATTATTTACCTTATTAGAAAGTCAAATATAGAGAGGGTCGAAGGAGACCAGATCTTCCATCTGCTGGTTCACTCCCCAAGTGGCCACATTGGTCACAGCTGAGCAGATCAAAAACCAGGAGCCAGGAGCGTCTTCTGGGTTTCCAGGTGTAAGTCCCAAGGCTTGGGACCATCCTCTACTGCTTTTCCAGGCTACAAACAAGCAGCTGGAAGGGAAGTAGAACAACTGGGACATTAACCAGCATCCATATGGGATCCCAGTGGGTGCTAGGCTAACTCAGGGCACTGAGGCCCTGTTTTTAGGTTTTAATACAATGTTGAAACACATTGTCTTCACATTTGAACATATAAATAAGTAGTGACTTCCAATGTATCATTTTCCTACTCTACTCATTTTAAAATGGAAATTTTAAGAGTAAAATATAATAGAACACTTAAACAACCACCTAAATAATCATTGCCAGTAGAATGTCAGTACTGCTGAAACTGAACTGTTGACTAGTTAATGTTGTAAGGAAATTTTGATTTGAAATATTCATTCTTCAGCTAATTTATGATACAGTTAACATTGGAAAAGAAGGTTTAGGATTTTAGCATTGGAAAAGGCAGCTTCAATGCTGCATGTAAAGTTGCCTGCAATGTTACAGCTACGTTAAGCACTGTGTTTGACAAAAACGACCTGCTTTTTAGAAATGTGTGTGTTTGCTTCCATATAAAAGCACAGAGCAATTAATGATGGAAATCTGTGCTGAGAAACACATCACTAGTCTTTCGTCATATGAACATTACAGAGTGTACTTAACAAACCAAGAGGTATAGCCTTCTGTATAACATGCTACATTATAATCTTAGGATACTGCTGTTATGTATCTGTTCTGTCATTGATGGAAATGTCATGATATGAGACATGACTGTACTCAGAGTTAATTTTATGCTTGCGGTAAGAATGTAAGCTGAGAAGATCATGTTGTGCATGCATAGTCTATTTTTGGGTTCTGTGTTTGCTTGAGTGTGTATTCTTAGCAATGTGCCCTCTCCGTGATTGTGCTAGCCTTCCTTTTTAGCAAATATTTGATGATTCCCAGGGTGGATTGATACCAAAACCTTCGTATCTCTGGTGTTTGGCCCACAGAAAGATTATGCTCCTTCCATTCATATTAGAAGAAGCTGGAAGAATAGTAAGAAGTTGACTTAGAGTTGTTGGCTTCAAATCCTGCTTCTTCGGCGGTTTTGACAGAGGTTTGGCAATATACACAATTATTGCATTATTATGTTCTGTGACTAAGTGTGCCTAAATCTGTGGCATGTGGCACCGTTTGTGTGTGTGCCTGC